TTTATCAATTGTTTTTTTTATCATAAATTGTAAATGAGGAAGGTACCTCCCAATCAATCTGCCAGTTTGAAAGGATAAAAATGTGTGGGGTTCACGTTAAAACTGAAACAATTTGTTTTTCTATAAATTGCCATTTTGAACCAATCTTTTCAAGGCAGGTGCAGAAGATTGGTTTGTCATGACCACAGCAGAAGACCTGGGTGAGATTGAGTACATCACCGTCTGGACTGACTGTTCCGGTGCCCAGCCATCATGGTGTGTACGTGGCGTCATGAACTTTTTGAGCAGAATTTTGATTATGTCCGAATGTTTATTTATTTTAAATTTTTTCATGGAACTTCCTTATGGTTTATTAGATCAGCCATATTACTGGACAAATATTTGCTTGTCGATGTTAAGTAGCTCTCGTGCAATCTAGTGACTGCAGTGAATAGAGTTCCAGTTTTAATGTTAGCAGCTACGGTTTTAAAGTGCGAACTGAGCAACGCTACTAACACGTGACTTCAGAGATGGTAATGGCGTGAATTGCTCTGTGTAGACGATGTTCATGAAAAACAAAAAAGCAATCAATAAATAACAATCACAGCTCGATCCGTTAATATGAGGTAAAAACAGATGGGCACCAAAATATTTATGTTAGTTTTCTGTGAAAGATTTCGTGTTCAGTAATGCAACAACACTGCCGGCAACTATCTCATGTATTCTATTTTAAAACAAAATTCGGGCATGGCTAATCACACTGACGATGTAACCCGATCACGACAGACAGACACTCAAGTCAAGTAAAATAAAAGCCTTAAAAAAAAAAGAATGACTATATATTGGGGCATTACAATATTAATAGAAAATAAAATAATTTTAAAACTCATAGACCGAATGTATACGAAAAGTTTATGTTTAGGGTTGGTTTAATTATTACGTAATGAGTAAAAAAACAACTAATAATTATATGAAAAGAAGCAATAAAATCTTATTTCGTTTCACCTTAAAACGTTTGCCAGGTTTTTAAACTCGGTGTACGTTCAAAATATGCACACGTCAGAGTCCTGGTACTGTCAGTACAACAGCTGGCTCAGCGTGGAATACGGCTGCAAGAAGCTTGTGGCAGAGGTGCCCGCCATCAAGGTATCCACTTCCGGGTCGTACCCCTGCCAAATGTCTGAGATCGGATTGGTTGAGTCCATTGTTTTCGACTTTTTCATTATAAATTTTAATTATCATTTTTAAACAGTAAGTTCGAATTCATCCAGTAATTTCTGGCAGAAACTTCATGATTTCATCTATTTTAGATATTAGAAATTTCAAGATTTCAGCCATCAATTTCTGAGTTCATCAATAGATTTCTGGCAGAAACTTCAACTATTGATTTCATCTCCTAATTTCTGACAGAAACTTCAACTATTGATTTCATCTCCTAATTTCTGACAGAAACTTCAACTATTGATTTCATCTTCATGTTGTTTTTTTTTTTGTTTTTTTTTGTTGTTTTTTTTGTAGATGTCATTCTGTTATGTGTCCTATTTATTACTTGTGTTTTTTAAGTGTCCTGTTTTTTACTTGTCCTTCTCGTTACGTGTCCTACTTGTTTCTTGTCCTGCTTGTTTCAGGTCTTGTTTTTTTACATGTCCTACTTGTTTCTTGTCCTGCTTGTTTCAGGTCTTGTTTTTTTTATATGTCCTACTTGTTTCTTGTCCTGCTTGTTTCAGGTCTTGTTTTTTTACATGTCCTACTTGTTACTTGTCCTACCACGAAAATCTTTCTCGAGCAAATGCCCAGCGTTGTTTTGTCAAAGTTAAATTTATGACTTATCTAAGAAATCACATCGCCAGGAAATTGAGTACGCCAATACGAAGATGGTACAGTTTCTAAACAGAAGTAAGAACGACATTCGCAATGAGCACCTTTGGTTTGGGATGTTAGTTAAGACCAGTTACAACACCTTCACCAGGGTAAGATAAAGTTTTCTACAACAATAACAAAAATAACAAAAAATATATAGGTATATATATATATATATATATATATATATATATATATATATATATATATATATAATATATATATTCAGTGAATCATGATCGTTAAAGCGACATTTGAGACAGCAATCTTGAGGGTGCGGGTGATCAAATATATTAGCAGTGACTGCTCTAAAAATATACAGAATATTGAATATATAAATAAAAAAAGTATATAATTTAGGCCAGTAACATAGTGATGCTTGATGGAGTTCGAGAGGAATTCTAAAATCTCAATTTTTTTTTTTTTTTTAAAGTGGGCCGAAGACAAAATGCAAGAGTCATCCATTGGATCAGAATGGTGTTAATAGAGAGACTTTTAGTTTTACAATATCAAATGACGCCAAAAATAAATGTCCTATAATACACCGCTGTATAATTTGAGCATAAAGACGAATAGTGCGCTACTTCTTATGGACACTGATTGTTCAGATACAACGGAATAAGTTGTGTTTTCTTTTTTAAACAGTTAAATGAGCTCATTTCCTTATAGAAGCATTGATAGAATTATTGAAACCTTCAAACTTCATAAACAGAAGGATCGGTAGGTCTGCGCTTGCACAGATACATCACTTGGTGATGGCACTGATCATGCTACAGTTCCCAGTGATAGGTGACCTAATGTTTTTGACTTTCTATGGTCACAGATACGTCGCTTGGTGACGGCACTAACCATGCTACAGTTCCTAGTGATAGTTAACCTATTGCCTCTGTTTATCTCCTACATGGTCACAGATACGTCTCTTGGTGACGACACTAACCATGCTACAGTTCCTAATGATAGTTAACCTCATGCCTCTGTTTATTTCCTATGGTCACAGATACGTCTCTTGGTGACGACACTAACCATGCTACAGTTCCTAGTGATAGTTAACCTCATGCCTTTGGTTTTTTTTTTCTATGGTCACAGATACGTCGCTTGGTGACGGCGCTAACCATGCTGCAGTTCCTCATGATAATAAACCTCATGTTTTTTGGCATAGCTGACCTCGACAACGCTGAGCAATTTCTAGACTTATTTGGGCAGAAAATTCACGTGACCAGCATTGCCATTGGTGTCGAGTCCTCGCTCGTCATAACTGTTGTTGGCCTTATTTTAACTTTTCTGTTCAATAAGTAAGTCTTCCTTGATCATAAACACTATAATAAAAAATTGGTGAGGTTACAATTTTTTAGGGTTATACCAATGTTAGCTTAAAAATTGTCGAATATTTAATAAATAATTGTTAATATATTTTTTTAATAAGTCGAATTCGGCCTGATTTTGAACAAATGAAATTAAACGGGAAAACCATACACCTTGCATTTTTAAAACTTTCATGTTACCTTTCCATTAAATTTAAAGTGACATCTTCTGAAATATAATTTTATTTTTTCGTGTAGGGAATATACAGTTGTTGTTTTTTAAATCTCAATATCCTTCTGACATATGTTTCCCTGACTGCGTCCCACATGTTGGTCATAATGTATGGAACGACAGTCAGTTTTTTTTTATTTCACTTTGTTTCTATTATTTAAAGCATTTAATGAGTTTTCGCCAAACACCCTCCCACCCCTTTTTCCCGGGCAGTATCGCACATAAGCCCAAGAATAAGAAAAAAGAGTTGTCAGAGGAGGAGATTGAATACCTGGAGACGCTCATGGACAGAGAGGAGTACAAAGCCAGATTTGCTGGGATCTCCACAGACGATGACGACTACCCCTACGGAGAAGATTATGACGACGACGATAACGATAATGATGACGAAGTCAGCCCGTATGATAGTGGCGACAGACCGGTGGAGAGAATGAAAAGGTCGAGGACCAGTGTCGTCGACCCACGAAAGAAGCGGCGAAATTTCAGTCGGAACGCTTCTGAAGATGATGATGGCGATAAAACTCATGGTGGTTTATTTCATTTATTTTTTTTTTTAGTTGTACATTTCATTTGTATAAATTTTGTCAAAATACAAAGAAACCAAACACATAATAATTACTTTCGTTATAGAAGACAGTTGTTCTAAATGTTTCAGTAAAATAGAAAAGCGGTAGATCTACATTAGCAGGTGGAGCTAGTATCGAATTTATTGATTGTTCTATCTTTATCTTCTTAAACTCCTCGTCTGCTGTCAACAAGTGACAAGTAGTTCAATAACTGATGTTGATCTGTAGACAACCTATTTGTGGACCACTGAAAAAAAAAAATCCGTTTGGCAACTCTTTGTTACAAACAAATTAATAAATCAAATGTTAAAAATGGGGTTTTTTTTTTTTTTTGGGGGGGGGGGGGGGGGTGTTAAGTTGTAACTTATCTTTAGTTTACAGATTGTTTTCTCTTTTCATTTTTTCATAAAAGTAAAAATCATTTCATTTAAGCATCTCCCTATCTAAACTCTCTTTGTACAACTTGTTCAACAAGAACAGGTCACAATCAGAACACAATTTTAATTTTCTTGAAAAGTTCCTTTAGGCAATACTGCTCCATTCTATTTATCTCCCTTTAAAAACAAATCTATTTAATAAATAAAGAATTAAATATAATTTTAATGAACATTCTTTCTCAGAGGAATATAGTGCGCACTCAGAAGATCATGTGGTTGATATGAATGAGCTTGTTGAATTGAATGAAGACGACTCAGACTGGATCAACTCATTCACGTACGCATCATCATGTCCTGGCTAAGATCACTTTGTATTGATATCATTTAAAATAAAAATCTAAACACCAATTCCAGTGGATCTCAAACTTCTTAATGCCGCGACCCTTTAATGCAGCTCCTCGTGTTATGGTTTCCCCCAACCATAAAATTACTCTCATTGCTACTTCATAGATATGTGTTTTCCGATGCTCTTAGGCGACCCCTGTGTAAGGGTCGTTCGACCCCTAAAGGCGGTCACGACCCTCAGATTGAGAACCGCTGAGTTGAACCATTTAACAATTAAAAATGTGTCAATTAAAATGTGTAATTTTGTTTTGAACTGGTCCTGTGCAGGCTGCCCTGGTGGTTTATCTACATCATGTGGGTCCTTCTCGCAGCGTTGAACTTATTTCTGGCCTACTACATCATGCTGTACGGCCTGAGCCTGGGCTACGAGCTGAGCGTGGACTGGGCCATGGCTTTCTTCACGGCCTTCTTCGTCAATGTCATGGTCATCCAGCCGGTCAAGGTCGTTCTGATCGTCTTCGTGCTCGTGCTTCTCTGGAAACAGAGATACACCCTCAAAGAGATCGCCCCCCTAGCAAAGCTGAGTGAGTCGGTAGGCCAGACAGAGCGACGTGAAATAAATTGTATACATTTCAATAACAACAAACTAGTGGGCTAGGAAGAGTAAGATGCAGTAAAATGTATACATTTCAATAACAACAAACTAGTGGGCTAGACAGAGTAAGATGCAGTAAAATGTATACATTTCAATAACAACAAACTAGTGGGCAAGACAGAGTAAGATGCAGTAAAATGTATACATTTCAATAACAACAAACTAGTGGGCTAGGAAGAGTAAGATGCAGTAAAATGTATACATTTCAATAACAACAAACTAGTGGGCTAGAAAGAGTAAGATGCAGTAAAATGTATACATTTCAATAACAACAAACTAGTGGGCTAGGAAGAGTAAGATGCAGTAAAATGTATACATTTCAATAACAACAAACTAGTGGGCAAGACAGAGTAAGATGCAGTAAAATGTATACATTTCAATAACAACAAACTAGTGGGCAAGACAGAGTAAGATGCAGTAAAATGTATACATTTCAATAACAACAAACTAGTGGGCAAGACAGAGTAAAATGCAGTAAAATGTATACAACAAACTATGAGAAAGTACAAAGAATTTCACTATCCCGTGATTCAATGAAATTATCTAAATTCATCAAGACCTAAGAATGACTTTTTGTTTGTCTTAAACTAACACTGAAAACAAGATAGGCAACCTTTGGAACAAAATTGCATTTGCAGAACATTTTCAAAGATTTCTTTACCATTTTAGCACATATTTTTTTTTTAAATGTTATTTACCCACTGCTACAGTCAATTGATCAATACTTCCATCAATTTTTTTACGGCCAATATTGTTTAATATTTTCATTAAAAAATAGCTTCTAGCAATGTATTGCCACACATACTCAGCAGAAACATTTTGTTTGTGAAATTTTTCGTAAAATAAAGTTTTAAACACGTTTTCGTCCAGGTTAAGCGAAACGGAATACCAGGATCTCTTATTAATATCTTAACTGAGATTGGCCAGACTGTACGCACGGATGTTCTATTAATAAATTTCCGCCATGAAATACAAAACCCTAATAGCTCGGCAATGGTTTTATTTTGAGTACTGCAAATTTTCAGCTGAGAGCCTCCGGCTGGTCCACCAAAAGAACATACTGAAAATGAAGTACGGGTCCCTCATGCCAAAGATGGTCTACACAGCACCGCTAAATGCCAATGAAGTACAGGCTGTCATGGACAGACTCAAAGTTGAGAGTGTTGCCAGAGAGGTGAGTTGGAGGTTTAACCGTAGCACTGAGAGAGTTTGGAGAACCGTTGAAACATGGACAGACTCAAAGTTGAGAGTGTTGCCAGAGAGGTGAGTTGGAGGTTTAGCTGTAGCAATGAGAAAGTTTGGAGAACCGTTTAAACATGGACAAACTCAAAGTTGAAAGTATTGTCAGAGAGGGGAGTTGGACGGTGAGTCCACAACCACCAAGTTGGCCCTTCAAAACCTGCAGTTGCTGTAGGCTAACGGTTTTTTTATGTTTCTAATCATGTGATGTGGAATAAAACTTAATAGATGATATTTTAAATAGCATTTAAAGTCAGAATAATAAGGAGTGGCAGGGGATCTCAAAAAAGCTAATTTGTAAACACTCGCTTAAGTAGGTTGCATAACAGTTCGAAGAAAAAAAAACAAAAAGAGGGAGCAGGGTATCACCTGAGCACTCTGCAAAATAGCAGAGTACCGCTAGATCTTGCTGAATCAGAGATGCATCAGAGCAGGGTATCACCTGAGAACTCTGCAAAATAGCAGAGTACCGCTAGATCTTGCTGAATCAGAGCTGCATCAGAGCAGGGTATCACCAGAGCACTCTTCAAAATAGCAGAGTACCGCTAGATCTTGCTGAATCAGAGCTGCATCAGAGCAGGATATCACCAGAGCACTCTGCAAAATAGCAGAGTACCACGAGATCTTGCTGAATCAGAGCTGCATCAGAGCAGGGTATCACCAGAGCACTCTGCAAAATAGCAGAGTACTGCGAGATCTTGCTGAATCAGAGCTGCATCAGAGCAGGGTATCACCAGAGCACTCTGCAAAATAGCAGAGTACCACGAGATCTTCAGAGCAGGTTGCCGCCAAATGATGCTGCATTAGAGCAGGGTGCCGCTAGGTGATGCTGAATCAGAACTGGGTGTCATCAGAGCAAAGTGTCATAAGAACAGAATGCCTCCAGAGCAGGGTGCCACCAGAGAAGGCAGACTTGGAGGAGGTACATGGTGGAAATCTTGAGAGGTGACACAATCATTTTACCGAACTGGTCGCCCGCCTCCCCCCCCATACATGCGTGACATATTTATTGATGACCCTCTTTGTCCATACATATAGAATTTATTTTCATGCTTTTTGGCTGAAAATAATAGGTTACTTTACACACTTCCATATTTCTACATGCATTGCGGAATTATTTTTTTAAAATTATTTTTTCAACTATATTTTACATGTCAGGAGTAATAATAACCTTATTCTCGTTGAATGTTGTTAGCCTTGAATTATTATATTTTTTTATTAGTAGAGAAATGTATTAAATCAACGTAATGCTGACTTAAGTTCGTCAATTATGTTCAAATAACCGTTAATTCTCCTAGTTGAAAAAAACAAATAAAAGAAGATCTGAGCAGAACCGTTAATCTCTAACCCCAAATTTGAAGATGTCCGCGAAATTTACAATAGTAGCCATGTTGTTTTTTAAACTGTTTTTTGTCTTAGTTAAAAAGATGTATATAGTTTTTATGTCTTTGAATGAATCTATTTGCATTGCATCACAGGCCTACTCTTTACACAAAATAAATAAATAAATAAAAACTTCCCTGTCCATTGCTGATCAAACAAGCTGATTTTTTTAAATGTTCAAATAGCATGTATAAACTAGCCTCAAAGAAAAGCGTTGCCAATACTCGTATTTATCTTCTCAGATGATGAGAGATCTCGTGCTCTACATTATCTTCATGGTGTGTGTTCTTCTGGTGGTGTATGGCCACCTGGATATCAATATCCAGTACCATCAGGTGAAATATACCAAAAATGTCTACCTGGGCATCAGAGAACCTGTTGATGAGGTAAAAAAACAAAACAATTATTCTAATTTAGCTTAGACATATTTTATACGGGCCTGTTCTCACCATTCTGTGTCATTACAGTACGGTGTTTCAAATTTCCGAAATCTTTTTTTTGTTTTCAGAATAATAATATTTTATTAAAACTTTAGACCTGCGCTGCAAATTAGAGACCAGTAAACAGGGCCGGCCATAGGCCAATGCAACCTATGCGGCCGCAGTGGGCCCTTGCATAGGCCCCGCGCTAATTCTAGGTGCAAATTATTAAATTAAACCATTATAACTTATAATCATGTATAGGTCAGCGTGTTTATTCTGTTTTTTTACGTTTTTACAGTGTTTTTAATCTATTACTCGTTGTTGCAAGTGATTACGACAAGTAAATAAACTTGAAAAAAAGTTGTAGCTGCTCGGGTGTTACCAATCTGTCTGTAAAACTTTTGTGCGAAACAAGGTGAGAATGTAGAATAGATAGTGTCAAAGCACTTCGTAATCAATTGCCTGAAATTTGTGACGCACTCGAAGAATTAGCTGAAGAGACTAATGGATGCGATAATTAAAAGTGAAGCAGAAACACTGCTTAGTGTTACTTGTGTTATGGTACGACGTGCTCTTCCAAGTCAATTTTGTGAGTACAGAACTGCAAGGTGAAACAGTAGATTTGAGCGCTGCAATGGATTCGTACAACAACTTGATGACTTGGCTAAGGAAACTGAGAGTTGATGGGTTTGTTCAGATTCTTGTTACAGCAAAGGAAATGGCTAAAAACATGGAAGCTGTTTGCAATCTTTCCAGCCAAACGTCAAAGGAAAAGGCAGTATGATGAATCTGTGGAAAACTTCACATCTGGAAATGCTGAAGATGACTACAGGATAAATTGCTTCAACAGAATTGTGGACACCGCAATTCAATCCTTGCAGCCGAGATTTTAGCAGCTGAAATCAAACCACAATTTATTTGGGTTTCTTGTCAGCTTCAAGAGCCTTCAGCGTGATGACATACGAAAGTTTATAGCGAGCCTCGAGCAAGCATTGACGTCATCAACAGATCAGTCAGCAGATATAATGTGGGCGAGAATTAGCTAATGAAATGGAATCTTTGAGACATATTCTACCAAATGCCGCCAAAAGCCCGGTAGAAAATGTTGGCTTATCTGTCCACTAATGAAAGAAACTCTGCTTTCCCAAACTACTTTTTTGCACTCAGAATATTCTTAACAATACCCGTAACTGCGGCATCTGGCGAATGAAGCTTCTCGCGCTTCAACCAAGAATTACTTGAGGTCAACAATTCACGACGATAGATTGAACAATTTGGAAATTCTTGCTATTGAGCGTGATCTATGTAGGGAACAGAATTTTGATGATATACTGTATGACTTCGCTGCACGCAAGGCTCGTAAAGTAAAGTGAATTTGATTGTGATTTTGTACTTAGTACAGAACTATCTAATGTTATGGTACAGAACTCTCTAATGTTATAGCACAGAACTATATAATGTTATAGTACAGACATCTCTAAAGATATAGTACAGATATCTCTAATGAAATAGTACATACATCTCCAATGTTATAGTACAGACTTCTCTAATGTTATATTACAGACCTCTCTAATGTTATAGCACAGAACTATCTAATGTTATAGTACAGACCTCTTTAATTTTCTAGCAGAGAACTATCTAATGTTATAGTACAGACATCTCTAATGTTATAATACAGACCGTTCTAATGTTATAGCAGAGAACTATCTAATGTTATAGTACAGACATCTCTAATGTTATAGTACAGACATCTCTAATGTAATAGTACAGACATCTCTAATGTTATAATACAGACCTCTCTAATGTTATAGTACAGACATCTCTAATTATATAGTAAATACTGCTCTAATGCTATTGTACAGACCTATGGACTGTAATAGCACAG